CTTTAAAGCTGTCACACTGTGCTTATAAAAAATATATTTGATTACATTAATTATTTGACATAATTGGCTTTGATGGAGCAAAAGAACTGCATTTTGTTAATTGTTCTGACTCTTAACTGTCTTCAAAGTGAGATTCCAGCAGGTTTAATATCTTTAAACAATTTATGGTGTCATGAAAACAGAAAGTGAAACATTTAGCATTTTGTCTGAGAAATTCAAAGGATTATATAAGAGATCAATGGTAAAGCAAATAATTGATTATCTTTGTATTGATTCTAAAATTCCGTGCTGTTATAAGGCAATTTATACTGTAGATGCCTTTATTCACTGCACAAAAGCACTTAAATAATTTATTAATAACTTAAGGCCAATCAAGATTTAATTTAAGATAAGTTATGAAAATCTGTTTTAAGTGTCCTGGACATTGTGTTCTAAAACATTGGAATGAGGAATGATACCTGTTCTCATGTACTGTATATAAGGGCAATTAAAAGCAAAATAATATTAACAAATTGATACAGTAGGTGGTATTCCTCATGTATGTTTTTAGAAAATATCTGCAAAATAATTGAATGTTCTGATCTTCTTTTAGTTTGTAAAGTAAATATACCTACAGTACATTATGCACTTTTACAAAATACAAACTGTAATCAGTCTCTTTGTGGAGCCTCAAAGTACAGTATATATAATAACATTATCGTGAGTAAGAAAAATTGTATAATGGGACAAATGACATTTAGTTTATCTGGCTTTGTCCTCAATTGATATGTCTTTTAAATATTATCTGTTATTGTTTACAGATAAAGCTAAAAGATGCAGCTTGTTTTTTAATAATCAGAAAAATATACAGTATACAGTTACAGTAACATTGTTTTGGTATTAGCATCAAATTTATATAGTATATTTGTACTGTATATTTAATCAAATTCAATCTTGTATAGATATTTTTATCTTTAATATATGCTGGATGTTTGTAGTCACAGTCCTACCTCAGACATCCCCTGGGTGCATTGCTGTCCATGTATATTTCATGAAAATATCTGTTATTTTATAGTTGTGGCATATCCAAAAAAAATTTAACACACTTTTCCAAAAAAATAATGTTTTTCTAATCAGAAGTTTTGAGCAAACGACAATCTTAACTTGCAGAACACTAATAATTTTAATAACAGAAGCAGGTAGAGAATTAATAAAAGCAATGATCTTTTAAATAATATGAATGTTTATTATAACTGTTTTATTTGCATTCTTTTAGCCTTGTCTTATCTCTCTGACTTCCACATTAGAGCCTAGTTGTAAATTTAGTACAGCTGCTATTTCAGAATGACATGCCAATAACTGGTAAATGTACGGAGACTAATCTGTTCCCTTACTCTCAAAGAAAGTGTTCCCTCTAAGGCAAGCTTTAGTTTTCGTGCAGATCAGCATGGGAAAGCTTTTCTTACAACAGGTTCTGTTGATCCAATTCCAATATAAACAAAGACCTTCAACATTCTTAAAATGGCAACTCCATTTATGAAAATATTTCAATATTTAACAAAATAGCATAACAGTAAAAAACAGTAACAGTATAAACCAGTATAACAGTAAAAACAGTATAACAAAAAAAAACAGTGTTGTGCAAGGTCAGTTTTTCATTACACATACTGCAGTGAACAAAAAGTAAAGACAGTTCTGAGGTCTTGAATGCGGAAATAGAAAGAAGTCTTATTGGTGAAAATCAAAGAAATAGATAGCTAAACAATAATCAGTATGAGCTTTTCATTGTACTGTTTCATAAGTACATTAGCAGTGGACAGTTCCATTCTAGTGACCGTGTCCCCATATAACTAGATTACTTTTTGTTCTTTATTCATATAATTTAAACTCACATTAATGATAGCCATAAATTTGGTACTATTAAACCTAAACATTTTTAATTATAGAACTAAAATATATAAGAACGGTTAAAACTCTAGTCTCTGTTTACCTTTGGATTAAAGTTGTACAATCATGCTTCATTACTGCAGAAAGCTAAAACCCATCGAACATAGTCTTGATTTGGTTTAGTTAAATATGAAGTCTCTGATATTGTATGGTTTCAGACCATTTTACATCCTAAAAGCATCCTAAAAGCATCATAATTATAAATAGATTGTATATGTAAGCATAAAGCAATGAGTTTTCTCAGATTATTATTAGGAGATATTTTGTCTGAAGATAATTAGCTAAACCTTGTCCTTTCTGTAACTAAGAGCACCAACAAGGACAGCATGACAAAAGTCAGACCAAACATAAGCACATTCCTGCATCTACACCCCAGACGGAGAAATGTTCTTGTAATGATTGAAAGGTGGTACTAACAACTGAATTTAAAAATATCATTTCTCCAAAACCCTATCTAATAATCCGAAAAAGTAACCTTCAAAATCTAGTCTAAGATGGACAAAAAGAAACAACTATCCTCTTCAACTGAGTTTGTACACTAAAAGTACTACTATCGTTATGAAAAATGCTCTCAATGTATCTCAAATGAGATTTCAATGTCTGAATATCATTAATTTAGATTGCATTGGGGATACAGAAAAACAATGTATTCATAGCAAAAAAAATCATAAAAGACCCTAATTGTTATCCCTACTAGAGAGTCTGTGATTACTTGTTTTCAGATTAGCTGAACATGTACAACTCAAATGTTCACATTACCTTCAGCTCTGTACCAGCCAGGATTTGATCTTTGTCACACAACTCCAATTTCCCAGCAGTGGTGAACTCTGCTGCACTAAAAGACTGGCTCTCCCACCACATGAGATTTCAGTACTACCTGTGTTTTCTAGGCAGTGAAATCACCTTATCCAGCAAGCTTTTTACTGAATGAGCTCTGTAACAATCTCCTCCTCAAAATCCTTACTTCTCCACAGCAATCTAAGTGACTGCTAGGCATGAATGTCTGTTATCCAAGTCAAGACATCAATGTAAAAGTTCTGTCCTTTCTGGGATTTTGATCACAATTACTCATAGGCAACTACCTGTATAGGGCCATACAGTGCCACTGCCCAGACAATGGTGAATTCCAATGACAGGTCTCCCAGGGACGGAGAAGTAGGCACTATCACTGGTGCTGTCTTCTGTGAAATGGAGGTGACATCCCCTTCTATAACTGACTTAATGTCAATGACACACTTACTGTATGTTCACTAATTTGTTATAGCTACAAAGTTATTGCTACTACAGTATATGTTACAGCTACATAGTTTTAACATTGTTAAATTTGCAGTGCTCTTTTACATTTTTCTTGGGATAGATTTCTCTCTTGTGCTTTCTGTAAAATATCTATGAGAGGAAAAGTGAACCAAGCAAAGAGAGTTACATTATTTATGCTATGTAGCATTTCTCTTACAATTTATGCTAAGAGTTTAGTTTTAATTTTTAATAAAACTGGAGTGACCTATGAATAACCGTTACTCAAGCTTAAGCCACTTCTCTTGTCCCTACTGTTTTTTTAAAAATATTCCTTTCGCATCTTAACAGTTCCAGACCACAGGTTCATTATTTTATTTTAAATTTACCCATTGGGCATGTTTGAGATGTATTTTCTTGCAAATATAAGAACTCTGTCTCAGCTCTTAGCTGTTAATAATGTTGGCATTATGGAAAATTGTTCTGGTTTAAAAGGTTTTTGAACGACTGATCCAATTTTCATAAAGTGCACTGTTTTGCCCCATCTAATGTAAAATTCTTTGACTTCCTGTTTATCTATGAAGTACCAAAATGACAATTGAAACACCTGTGTGATCTCAATTTCCCTTTGCCTGACTCCGTGCCTCAACAACTGTTCTGTTATCTGTAGATTTTTAAGACAAGAAAATTGCTTGTAACTAGAAATAATTTAAGTCTAAACTATTTATTATTTGTGATGTCAGCCAGTGATTTATATTATTGTCTTCATACATAGAGAATAACTTGCTGGTATCCCAAATGACATTAATCAGAATATTTAAATAACTTTCCTTTTTCTTTACAATTGATGTTCATTGTGTTTTAAACATTTACGTACTATACATATTTCTATAGAAAATGTCATGGGTGAATAATTTCATCAGCTATTCAGTCAAATGTATAGAATATTCTTAGAAGTGCATATACAATACAAATCAGAGTACATTAGGAAGCCCATTTATATTACTGCATTTGCATTGTGGAGAGAAAATGCTATGCTAAGCATCTTTCTTGATAGATTTTCATACAGAAGATTTTTATTACTCAGGGGGCTCCTCCTGTAGTATAAAATATTCTGAACGAGTATGTTGTGATGGAGTACATCAGCAAAACATGAAAGAAGGGAAAGACCTTTAAAAGAATGTTGGTAAAGAACAAAGGGAGCCCATTCATTATCCAGCAACAAGAATGTTCTTATCTCTTAAAAAAAATTAAAAATTAAAAAATAAAATCTGATTGACACAAAGATATCCTTTATTATTCAAGTACATTATTTTTAGCCATACTTAAATGGCTGAGACTGCATAAAGTATTCTTTCCATGGTCCTGCTAATTCTGTAAGCCCAATGACACATCACGGGAAGAGTGGTCAGTTTTGCAATAGTGTCACAGGGTAATGTTCTGAAATTACTTTTGATCGAAACTGCTGGCTGATCACACACACAGCCGGTGACAGAAAGTTCTTGGCATGTCCTTTTTGTGAGATGGCAAATATTTTATTCAGTTTTCATTAATGTTATACTTCCAGTCACCATTAGGCATATGTCTGAATTAGGCTATTTTTAGGCTGTGTCCAGAAATTTAGAATAATTTTGTTGAGTGGGCTGCTAATGTTATCAGTGCAAACAGTTGTGTTCAGTGCTGTTGTCCTTACAAACACCTGATTGGTATCTCTGTAGGAGCTCTTCCTGTGACAGCATTCTGTGTGATTTGGAAGAACATCTGTACTATAGCCTGACTATTGAATGCTACCTGAGAATGATGGGAGTGATTATAAACCTGCATGTGTTTCCTTTCTGTAGGAGGGTGTCCAGTGGCTATCAAACGCGTTGGCAGCAACAAGAGGATTGCATTGGCTGCAGCTGCTATGATGACGGTGGAATCGGAAGCATGTCAGGGCCCATCTTCCAGCACTACTCAGCCTTTCCACGTTCTGAGGCTTTCTCCCATCAAGATCCCAATTCTGTCAGCTCCTGTTTCAGGTAACAACACCGTTATAACTCTATAACGTGTTGGCTTCAGAAACAACAATAAAATGATGAGTGACTGTGAATATCGGTTTTATCGTATTACAAATCCTGCTTTTACAGTGTTTAAATTGTAGCAGTTTAGTTGTTCACAGAAACTAGAATTTTGACAAAACAAATAACGTAGCCAAAATAGACAGCTGGGCCTCTTGGTATCTTTGTTAAAGTCTACTGGAAGATAACTTGAGACCTAAAGATCTCAAAATGAAAAATGTCTAGATTTAATGCAAGATTTTCAACAATGCATAGCAGACAAATTGTTTTTTCTAACCTCAGTGAAACTTGTAAAGTACTGAAATACTGATTACAAATTTGTTAAAGATACTTTCAAAAATACCAAAACAAGTTTTATGACATTTCGATTTTTATCACAATCAGGTACTATGTTATACTTGTAATACTATATCAAAACATTGTATAGTAAGGAGCTATGGTAAAACATCTGCAAAAAGGAGAATGTCTTCCATCAAAATTGAAATTGAGAAATTAGAAAATAAAGACATTTTACCAGCTATTCAGTCAACTTAAAGAAGTGTTGATGGATTTTTAAATCAATACCGCTAATCTAGAATTATTTTCTACAAATAAATTTAAAGTATAGTATGTGTATTTTCCTTATTTTGTATTTGTTTACATTTTTACTTCTGTCTTAATAGACAGAAGAAATTATCAAGCTTGTGGGTTTTCCTGTCTCCCACTAATGCATTAGATATAGTACAAGGATTTTTTTTCTGTTCCGCTTAATTCAAATGGTTTCAGATCATAACTCAAAACAAAAAAAATCTATTATGATTGCTAAAGCCTCTAGCCTTTATTAGCCTCTACCAGAACTCACATGTCTCTGAGAGATTACAGAAACAGAATACCACAGAGTGCTTTTGCTGAAAGTCTAAAGCTGCATGGTTTTGTACACATTCCTGACCCCAAAAGCTTCTTTCTCTGAAAGATAAGGCAAATGGAATTGTAACCCTGTTGAAGTGGAGGCATTCTTTTTGTAAAACCAGTTTAGTCAGGAGTAATGGCTTGAAAGTAAAATGGCTTGTAGTTCATATGCTAGTGAGAATGCTGTGCATGTGTATTTTCTCATTTATTTACAGGCTTTATATAGAGCAATTCGTCTCAACATAATGCAGGGATAAATGAGAGCAAAGCAGGTCAAAATGATAAGCAGGTATCTATTTACAAGAGAGACATGTGTATATTGAAGGGAAGGCAAATTAAATATCACCAGCTTGTGATTTTTAATAACACTGTTTCCCTATTCCCGATACATAAATCCCACTGGTGTTTTCTCTTGGGATGCCAGTTGCCTGCTGATTAACACTGGTAGCTTCCCAACAATTATGGACCAAAACCTATAAAAGTGTAAAACAAATTTAGAAATTGAACACAGGCAAAGCTGAATTTTAAGGGTTGTGTTAAATAAGAAACCCAAAGAAAGAAAAGTTTTCATTTATTTTAAAATATTGAATTTCCACTTTCTAAATCATAATATCTCTTGTTTAATTTAGTGAGAATCCAGGACCTCAGTCAATACATATTCAGTTGTAATTTATTCAGAAGTCAAGCAGAAAACTAATTAGGATTTTATGCATATTCAATTTCTTAAATAAACAATGCAGCCATGATTCAGTGCTGCATTTCAATGCTATTCTAATGCCCTAAATACAGCTTTAACTGACGACCTTTTACAAAACATGTGTTTTGGAAGCAAATTGCAGTTATGTCTTATGTAAAGCCTGTAATGTTCCAAACTCTGATTATATTTTGATTCCATACTAATACAATGTTCAAATTTGGTTTGAGCTAGAAAAAATATGATTTGAAAATAAGCCTGAAACCTTTTGACATGTTTGTGCTTATGTGAATTTTGATCATTCTCATTTGACTGCCCGTAGTTTTAAAATATGATGTGATAGATGCAATTTAGCGCTCTAAGAATTTTACTATGAAGCAGAGCTATTTTAGAATAAACATGAATTCTATTTCTTTTATCCAAGCAAGTGGTAGTATTTGAAATGACTAGGTCAGTTCTCACACAGTAATTTAGTTTTATTCTATAAGGCACAATGGCAAATGAAATCCTTTGGATGCTCAGCCTCATATACATTATATGTAAAAGAAAAGTTATATTTCACATTCATGGACAAATTTCTAATGGAAAAAAAAACAATTCTCAATATGCTTCTTTTTACTGGGGTAGCTTATGGCAGGGTTGTGGTTAACCAAAATAGAATTTAATTTACAGTATAAGAGATGTGTTTTATGGCTTATCTGCCAAACTAAGATTACATAAGCTTTGGGAATTTCTAGATTGTTTCAGTTCCTGCCCCATCTTAGATGATGCTTGCTCTTTTAAGATGTTGGAATATATTAGCAGTTAGGCATGTACTGTAAGTACGTGTGTCTGCACAGTAACCTGACTTTTCAGGCTTGACATATGTTTGACTTTGATCCCATTCAGTCCTCAGTCACTACCTTGTTAGGTTTGTACTGAACATATTGTATCCTTGAGTTCAACATGCAGAAATAACAAACAATTGTGGAAAATAATTGAGAGATACAGGCTAAGTGAGGATCACCCGTTGTCTTATACTGTTAGAACTCAAAGGATTGTATAAAGAGGTAAAGATGAAGCACAATAACTCCCTGCATCTCTTAATGCCAAACCTTTTCAAATGTATAGGTTCTCAAGAATATTTTGGATTCCTCATGGATTGTTTGAACATGATATTCCTAGAGGGCAGATTGACTTCTGTCTTATTCTCTGAAACATCCATCTGTTTTGTAAATAGATAGTAAACACCTTGGGCCAGATGTGTTTTGTTGGAAAGATTGGAAATTAATTCTGTTATACTGAATGGCAGTAATTAATTACATTGGCAGTTTGAGGCATTGTACTGCCATTGTAGGAAAAAGCATGTGTAGCACTAGAACTGTGCAAAGGCCATGTACATAAATGAGTTTGAAATTCTTCAAGCATCAGAAAGGATCCTGACATGCAGCTGTTAAGTTTTGTTCAATCCTGTGCATACATACAATCCTTAGATTAAAATGAAATATGTACAAAAATGCACCTGATTCAAAAATCATCCTTGTCCTCAAATATTACCTTGCATCTTAAAATGTAAAAATGTAACATTTAGATAGATAAGACTTTATTAATCCCATAGGGAAATTGATGTGTTACAGCAGTCCAGCCCAAGACAAGCAAAAACAGACATCAGAATAGTTATAAAACAAAAGACAACAAAATCAATAAAAATTAATAAAAAATAAATACATAGGTGTGTGCAAAATGTGATGATCATAGTCACTGTAAAAACAATAAAATATGTGCAAAATGTGCATAGGTTTATACAGACTGATTGTCCAAAAAGTACAGTGGAGCAAACATGCTGTCCATAGACGAGCAAATGAAGGGCTAACAGTCTTAGCCTAGGGCAGCGTTATACACCCTGACAGCCGCCGGGAGGAAAGACCTGCGGAAACGTTCCCTTGAACACCATAGCTGGAGCAGTCTGTTGCTAAAAGTGCTCCGCTGCCCAGTAATAGTCCCATGAAGCGGATGAGAGGCGTTGTTCATGATGGCTGTGAGCTTGGTCAGCATTCTCCTCTCAGCCATCACCTCCATGGGGTCAAGGCTCATCCCCAACACAGAGCCAGCCTACTTGATAAGTTTATTGAGCCTATTTGCATCTCTTGTAATGATGCTGCTGCCCCAGCATACAACAGTGTAGAAGATGGCTGCCGCCACCACTGATTCATAAACAATGTGTAGCAGTGTTCCACACATACCAAAGGACCTGAGCCTCCTAAGAAAATAGAGTTGGCTCTGACCTTTCATGTACAGGGCGTCAGTGTTACCAGACCACTCTAGCTTATCATTCAGGTGTACCCCTAAGTACTTGTAGGACTGTACGCCCTCTATGTCCTCACCCTGGATGGAAACAGGGTTCAGCGGAGACTTATTCCTTCAAATGTCCAAGATAATTTCTTTGGTCTTGCTGGTGTTAAGCTGGAGATGGTTAAGATGACACCACTCCACAAAGTTGGTAATCAAGCTCTTATATTCCTCCTCCCTCCCCTCTCTAATACACCCCACAATTGCAGAGTCATCCAAAAACTTCTGCAGATGACATGTCTCAGAGTTGTACCTGAAGTCAGAGGTGTAAAAGGTGAACAGGAATGGAGCAAGGACAGTCCCCTGTGGAGCCCCAGTACTGTTAACAACCTGTTCGGACACACAGCTCTGTAGCCGTACATACTGTGGCCTGCAGGTTAGACACTGCAGGGGAGTGTCCACCTGCGCCGCCCTTAGCTTATCTCTCAGTAAAGGTGGATGGATGGTGTTAAAGGCACTGGAGAAGTCAAAGAACATAATTCTCACAATGCTCCCTGTCTTCTCCAGGTGAGAGTTAGCTCTGTGTAGCAGATAGATGACTGCATCCTCCAGACACAAGTGTGACCGGTAGGCACATTGCAGGGGGTCCAGTGCTGTACTCACCAGGGTTCTGAGGTGGTCCAGTACAAGCCTTTCCAGAGTTTTCATTAGGTGTGATGTCAGTGCCACTGGTCTGTAGTCATTCAAGACTTTAGGGTGCCCCTTTTTGGGTACTGGAACCAGGCAAGATGTCTTCCAGAGCATCGGAACCTTTTCTAATCTCAGGCTGAGGTTGAAGATGTACTGCAGCATTGAACCCAGTTGGTCCGTGCAGATCTTTAGCACCCTGGAGCTGACACCGTCAGGACCCACTGCCTTCCCTGCATGGAGTCTCCTCAACTCCCTTCTGACCTGGTCAGCTGTGATGGATAGGCTGAGGAGGGCAGGGGAAGATGGAGTAGGAGTAGGACGGATCTCATGATGGGGTGACTGAGGACATGAAGAGGGTGTCTGGGGTGAAGGCCTGTGAGGTGAATGGACAGTGGACCCTGTATCGAATCTGTTAAAGAAA